GTTTTTCTAGTTGTGACTTATTTTAGTGGGAGAGCACTTCTCTAGCAAATGCAGAATGATATGTCTCGGTATTTGGAAATCAGTCTGGTCCTCACTCCCTCCATCACGTCTTTAGTCTGGTCTGGTTTAGCTCTGGTTTAGACTTGGTTTAGTCCCGGTTTAGACTTGGATTAGTCCCGGTTTAGTCCCGGTTTGGTTCTGATTTAATCGTGGTTTAGCCCTTCTGGTTTAGTCCTGGTTTAGCCCTGTTTTGGTCCTGATTTAGACCTGGTTTGGTCCTGGCTTGGTCCTGGTCCAGTCTTGGTGTAGTCCTGATTTATTCCTGGTTTAGACCTGGTTTAGACCTGGTTTAGACCTGGTTTAGACCTGGTCCAGTCGGGGTTTAGTCCTGATTTAATCCTGATTTAGACCTGGTGTAGTCCTGAGTTGGTCCTGGTTTGGTCCTGATTTAATCCCAGTTTAGTCCTCATGGTTTGGTGCTGGTTTAGTCCTGGTCCAGTCATAGTTTAGTCCTGATTTAGTCCTGGTTTAGTCCTGGTTTGGTCCTGGTTTGGTCCTGGTTTGGTCTTGGTTTGGTCCTGGTTTAGTCCTGGTTTAGTTCTGATTTAATCTTGGTTTAATCCTGGTCCAGTCCTAGTTCAGTCCTGGTTTAGACCTGGTTTCTTCCTGGTTTAATCCTAGTTTAATCCTAGTTTAATCCTAGTTTAGTCCTGGTTTAGACCTGGTTTAATTCTAGTTTATTCCTGGTTTGGTCATGGTCCAGTCCTGGTCCAGTCCCAGTCCAGTCTCGGTCCAGTCTTGGTCCAGTCCCGGTTGAAGCAATTAAATCAGGGTTTAGTATTCAGCTCACAGCGGCTCAGTAAACACACATGGTCCCTGGCCTCAGTAATGCTATTGATTTTTATAATTGCACCACTTGTCCCACAACAATAGAACCACTGCATCCACTTTTATGGATGATCTGCACGGCCATCGTCCTCTGTCATGGAAGATTTTTATTTTTAGTCCATTTACGTTTAAAATGGTCAAAACTAAACAAACTTACGTGCCATTTTACTTTTTACTTAACCACAAGATTAATTATGCTGTGCCTGCTTTTTACTCTGCAGTTTGTTTTAAATGTTTTGCAGTGATCCAAAATTATTCCTTCAAAATCCCAATTCTTCACCTCGATCAGTGCTTTTCAACAACAACAACAACTGGCATGCTAACACAACCATCCTGATTATGTAATTATATTCAGACAGCACACAGTAGACTTATTTTTGACCTCAAGGGCTGCTTTTACAATATAATATCTGTACTGAGACACGATTTTTGGTCAAAAACGTGGGAGAAATCAGGCATAGGATCTTTAATTTTTGTAATCAATTAATTTCAAAAACAGTTGCCGATGTCAGCGCTCTTGGCATCACACAATTTACTTCTCCTGGTGCTCATTTACTCCTGGTTTGGTCCTGGTTTAGCCCTGGTTTAGCTCTGTTTTAGCCCTGGGTTGGTCCTGATTTAGTCTAGGTTTAGTCCTGGTTTAACCTCAGTTTAGTCCTGATTTAGTGATGGTCCAGTCCTGGTTTAGTCCTGGTTTAGTGATGGTCCAGTCCTGGTTTAGTCCTGATTTAGTGATGGTCCAGTCCTGGTTTAGTGATGATCCAGTCCTGGTTTAGTGATGGTCCAGTCCTGGTTTAGTGATGGTCCAGTCCTGGTTTAGTGATGGTCCAGTCCTGGTTTAGTGATGGTCCAGTCCTGGTTAGTGATGGTCCAGTCCTGGTTTAGTGATGGTCCAGTCCTGGTTTAGTGATGTCCAGTCCTGGTTTTAGTGATGATCCAGTCCTGGTTTAGTGATGTCCAGTCCTGGTTAGTGATGTCCAGTCCTGGTTTAGTGATGTCCAGTCCTGTTTAGTGATGGTCCAGTCCTGGTTTAGTGATGGTCCAGTCCTGGTTTAGTGATGGTCCAGTCCTGGTTTAGTGATGGTCCAGTCCTGGTTTAGTGATGGTCCAGTTCTGGTTTAGTCCTCCTGGTTTAGTCCTCCTGGTTTAGTCCTAGTCCAGTCCTGGTTTAGTCCTCCTGGTTTAGTCCTAGTCCAGTCCTGATTTAGTGATAGTCCAGTCCTGCTTTAATCCTGGTTTAATCCTGGTTTAATCTTGGTTTAGTCCTGGTTTAGTCCTGGTTTAGTCCTGGTTTAATCTTGGTTTAATCTTGGTTTAGTCTTGGTTTAGTCCTGGTTTAGTCCTGGTTTAGTCCTGGTTTAGTCCTGGTCCAGCCCTGATCCAGCGCTGATCCAGCGCTGATCCAGCCCTGGTCCAGTCCTGCCGAGCTCTCTTGGCATCACACACTTCTATAACCTAACTTAATGTGAAAAGAAATAATAAATTACGAATAAAATAAATTACAAATACCCCAACAGTATCATTACTACTACTGCTATGCATGCAGTGTTGTCATATAGAATTATACAATCAGCATTCCTCATTCCAACAGATTTTTAATCAAATTTTATTCAAAAGACACAGGATAATTGCACATTTGGTCCGGATTTGAACCAGCAGCCTGTCTTGTTTTGTCACATTTTTCGATACATATTGCTTTATAATTATTTCTGTATCTTTGTTTTACAGATGCGACTTTAAAGTATGTCACAATGGCACATGCATATATTCGTCTTTACTACACTGTATACTTTTACTGCTACTTCAAAACCCCGCGTAGTTGGCAATATTACTGCAGAGATACAATATTAACTAATACTGTACGGGGAGCTGTTACTGCCTATGAGTCATTTAATATTTAATAATGCCGTGATATTATGAAATCTAATAACCTACACTCCTTCATTTATCTATGGGTTTCAGAGGTATGAAGAATTAGGACGGTTGCCATAGCGATTGTTAAATTAATGCAAAATAATACATCTTTGAATGGTGAAAAGTCCTCAAAATGTCAGCTTATACAGGCAGCTCTAACTCATGGATACGTTTGGACATTGAGTATTACGCAACGATTTATGCATTTATTTGTTTATTTTGTTAATATTTCTTCACAATACTTTATTAAAATGTCAAAAAAAAAATTAGGTTATGAGCTACGCTGTCATACCATGTGAAGTGGATGTGCTATTTTTGTCAACATTGTGCAGGTTGAGCGTCATGAGCAAGAGAAGCAAGAGGCTACAAGTCCTCAGGCGCACGGAACTGCACAGAAATGCGTCTAATTCTATTCTTTGTAATGATAAGATTTATAGGTTATTGTTCACGTTCAAAATAAATACAATTGCATCCTCTTTCCAGTCGCTTACGTGTAGCAGAGGCCTGTCGTAGCTACGCGTAACATGACGGCTTCCCCATTCAAAACAAACGCTGAGCCGCTCCAGTACCGGTCCGCTCACAACCTGTAGCTGCCCGTCTCTTTGGATCGCTCCCCACAACAAAGTTAAGTGCGAGGAGCGGACAGCGGGCGAACCGAGACCCGGCGGAGAGGGTGCGAGGGACGGCGGAGGAGCAAGAGACGCGCGGGGGTCTGCGGGGGGAAGGACGCCGATGTGAAGCGCTGTAAACGTGGACGTAGGAACGAACCGCGCGCCCGGAGCTTCTGTTCTGACTGGAAACTCGTAAATCAAAGCCGAAATATTACGTCGTACTTACCTTTACGCGACGTCGCCTGTCAATTCAGCGTGTGGCAAAACAAAATCAACACAGGCGTCCAGACCAGCCGCTGTCTTCTCGTGCCATTCTCATTCTCTCCTCCTCTTCCCCGAAAGCTATTTGTTGAATATTGAGTGAAAAAAAGAAAAAGTTACATCTCGGCAAATTGCCAAAATGGCTCGCTCTCCTCTTTGTTGTCGTGTTTGTTGTTATTTTGTGCGTCTGTATATGGCGTCTGCCCTTTACGCCTCGGCTAAAGGGAGGGATGCCCAAGATGGAGGCGGCTTGCGTGTACCTGTCATGCAACATGCGCAGTAGGCTAGTGAGCGGAGCGTCTGGGTGAGCGACTGTGGAGCGTCAGCCGCCCTCCCATCACCGACCATCATCAGCACCGCTCCTCTCCTCCGCTCCTCCGCTCCCGTGGCCCCTCCCCACCCCGCGCGCTCGCATCTCGCACGCGTCAACGCTGAAAGCTCACATATGACGCGGGGGTGACAGGGGGAGGGGGAATGGAGGATGAAAAGTCGCTCCGGTGTAACGCGTCACGATTTACGGCCGCGTTTAGGCTAAGCGCCGCGGTGCTGGGTGAGGAGAGCCGTGGATGCGCGCTATGGATGGAGCCCTGAATCGATCGGTTTTACTGGGAATCCCGGCGCGCTGGCCCCGGCCTCGGAGAGGAAAGGCTCCCTGTCCAGACTAATTTATATGGCATAGGAGGGGCACTGCCTGCCAAATATCGATCACAGAGTTGGAATGAGAAAGTGATCGGTGAATGAAAGGGCCAGTCGTAATTTTGGGACTAAATGGAAAAGTGTGATGTTTAAGAAAACGGGGAGGAGACAGCGTAATGTGATTGGGATGCAAAACAATCGCTTGGACAGTGCAGGATAAATCAGTTTGAAGGTCCTATATTACGCAGTTTGATTCTTGTGAGCTTTTGCACTTCCTGTATTACCACATGACATCACAAGGTGGAAGAAAGTGTTTTCTGTTTGACAGAAGAACTCAGTCTTAATATTCAGGGATTGTGTGTAAAACATGTGTGAATGAAACAAAACACAACGCCAAGTATGTTTGTGATGAGAAAACAACAGTATAGATCAGAAAATAGTGTAATAATGGCCCTTACTAGTATTTCTCATACACAGCTGGGTATATTTATAGCCATGACCCTGGTATTATGTAAATATGCAGTGCCCTCAAGAAATATAGGCACATTTAGGGAGAAAATTTTACAATTTTAAATATTTTTTTACTTAATAAAAATATAAAAGAAAACATATGTAATATATAAAATATAAAATGTGTTTTAAGGAAAATGTGTATATAATTATATCATAATAAATAATCAAGCATATTACTTGAGATGCATCCGTTCATTTTTTTTCTGCTCATCTTCGTCTGGGTTGTGGGGGCAGCAGTATGAGCAAGGGCTCCCAGACTTCCTCCACACTTCCTGTGTGTCCTCTGTGGGAGCCCAAGACATTCCCAGGCCAGCTGAGAAACATCGTCCCTCCAGTGTGTCTTGGGTCTTCTCCGGGGTCTCCTGGTGTGGTATAGAGTAGACAGTGAATATAGGGTACAGAGAAGAGACGGTGAATTTATGGTACAGAGAAAGGATAGTGATTACATGATACAGAGGAAGAGGGGTGAATATACGGCACAGAGGACAGTGGATACATGTGGCAGAGGAGGAACAGTGAGTACAGGGTACAGAGGAAGGACTGTGAATACATGCAGCGGTGGAAGAAGTACTCAATTGTGTTACAAAATAAATAAATAAATAAAGATTAATACTAAATAAATAAATAAACAAATACTCAGGTAAATGTAAAAGTTTCACATGAATATATATACTAAAAATATGCTAAAACATATATATAAAATAAAAAAATATATATATATATAAAAATATACAAAAAATATACTGAAGTAAAAGTATACTAAAATATACTAAAACACATACTGAAGTAAAAGTATTAAAGGATTTAAACATGTGAAAGTATTTTTGCTCATATTGAGGTCTTATTTAAGGCTTCAAATGTGTTTTTTGTTTTTTGTTTTTCTCAATACAAACAATCAAACTACTCAAACTACAAATGTATTGTATTGTCAGCCTTCTCCGCAGGTCTCACATAATAATATAAAAACTTTTACTTTTCAGTCTTGTTCAAAAATGTAGTGAAGTTGAAAGTACAGATAACTGCTCTCAAATGTAGTGAAGTAAAAGTAAAAAAGTATCCACTTTAAAATGTACTTAAGTAAAGTACAGATACCTAAAATGTATAACACTTTACTACTTTTACTTCTTTACCCTTCCCTGCTGGATATATGGTACAGACAGTGAATATGGTCGAGCCAATTCAAATTCATAAGCGCTAAAGAATGTTAATTTTGTTCCATTTCGGAAGTTTACACACGAGATTCAAACAATTAAGATTCATTTTGTGACACATTACAAGTGAAATTTAGAATTATTCCCCTGAACAAGACTGTCAACATGATTTATTACACAAAGCACAATGTATTACTTTTGGCCATAACAGTGCTGCTGTCTTACAATGAAGAGGTTGTGGGTGTGATTCCCAGGAAAGGTCTTTGGGTGAGTCTTCCCATGTACTGTAGGAGGAATGTGAAAGAGACCTTGGCCATCTGGAATTTCTAGTAAATTCAGCCATCTTCCCCGTTGTGTATGTAAAACTGCTTCTAGGAATTATGGGAAATGTAGTTCAAACTTGATATAATTGATTTGTACTGTTTTCATATAATATTTTTAGAAGGGTTCTGCAATTAATTGAATTTTATTTATTTATTTATCTATTTAAGGAAGAAAGTTGATTATTTTTGTGTTATTAAAGGGGTCATACTACACAAAACTGACTCAGGTGATAGTTTAGCTATATTGCTACCTCATCAAAAAAACAAAACAAAACAACAACAAAAAACAAGATACTGGCCTTTTAAAAGTCTCTGTTATGTTCAGAAAAAGTATATTGAATGTCATTTGCTTGTGTATAAAAATTGTCCTCAATCAATATGAGGAAAGAAATAATAATTCATTTTTTGTCATATTTGTTAGTATTTATAGAATTATCCCAATACGTGTGTAATGCACTAAGAAACAGAACCACAATTTTAAAATGCTTATTGATTAAAAATTGTTGTGAATTGACTTGTAAAAGAAAAGCGAATAAGTTAAAGAAATAAGTGCATTTAACTGAAGCAACTGTCTTTGAAATCAGTGGTACTTACCCTCTTGTGTTGTCTGCTTCAGGTGTTCCCGCCAAAAGAGTCCCAGGGCAGCTGGAGCACCTTAAGAAGGTTCCGGGGCAGGCAACCATTTTGTTGGGAGGAGGGTAGCACAGAGATTTTAACTTTTCTACTTAGTATTTTAAATTCATAATTAAACACTTCTAATTTAATAAAGATATATATTTTTTATATTTAGATGCACTGATTTTTTTTAATACCTAAATTATAAATATTAAATGTAAATTTGTGGAACTTACCGTATTTTCCAGGCTATTAGGCTCTGGATTATAAAACGCACTGTCATTAAATGGTCTATTTTTGAACTTTTTTCACAAATAAACCGCACCAGACTTTAAACGAAACACAACAGCTGGACGGGTCAGTGGGATTTTGTTTGGTGCGTTCACGGTGACTTTGTTCAGTTGTGGCGTGTAGGGAGGGTGCTGTCTGGGACCGCTGGATTGTCGGCGTGTTCACAGCGAATCAGTTGTTAAGTTGTGTCTAGAAGTGGCACATTGCACTCGCTTTTTCGGTTCGTTCCTCCGTTCCATTCCTCGTCCGCGTGGAGTGATGAGTGTGGCTGCAGGTGTTTGTCGCTGTCTACTCTGTGCGTGTTTGCGTGCGCTGCAGGTGGTGCAGCTTTGTAGTTTACTGAAGTCATGCTATGACACCCGAGTGGATTCATGTATAGGGTGCTCTGGATTGCGGGGCACGCAGTCGTTTTTTGATGAGGTTGGAGGCTTAAGAGCGCACCTAATAGCCTGGAAAATATGGTACCTGCATGTTAAGTTGAGCTCATCCAATTAGAGGATTTCACGGGAATAGAAGGTGCTGTGTGAGTGCAGGTTACTGTCATGCCTGGTTTTAACTTTTGTACTTTGTAAATATTTTTATACTTTTTGCCTGGGCTATGGAATAAATGCACTTGGGATCTGCACTACAAATCAGCACAGCTCTGATCTGTTCCTCTTGCACCGCTAAGGTTTCTATCAAAGCTCTGACAAGGTGATTTTACCCTTACTCAGTGTGGCTTTAAATCAAATATGTCAACATAATTTACTATAATTAAAGCAATACAAGAAATCACTAATGGCACTGAACATAAAAAAAAAAGCTTTAGGAATATTTATTGATATTAAAAAAGCATTTGATACAGTAAATCATGATATGCTTCTGTGAAAACTTGAAATATAGCAGTATGTGAAGCTTGGATATTGCTCATGGAGTACCGCAAGGGTCAGTATTAGGACCAAAGTTATTTATTTTGTTTATAAATTATATATATAAAGTATCAAATCCAATGAGTATGGCGTTGTTTGCGGATGTCACAAATATTTTCTATTTTGGGGAAAATATAGATGAAACTGTAAAGAGGATCCGAAAGTGTAAATTGTACAAAAGGATGTGAAAGTGCAATTACAACTAGATGGAGCTGAAATGAAAAAGGTTCATGAAAATAAGTTTCTAGGTGTTATAACTAATAATCAAATTAACTAACTAAACCACATATGGAATACATACAAGCCAAAATATAAAGAAACATATCTAAATATCTGGACTATAAATCACTCCATGTGCTATCTATGGGTTTGTAGTGTATGTTTTGTTTTGGAGTGCTGCAAAATGACATACTACTACTACTACTACTACTACTACTACTACTACTACTACTACTACTACTACTACTACTACTACTACAACTACTACTATTACGACTACTACAACTATTACTACGACTATTACTACGACTACTACTACGACTATTACTACGACTATGACTACTACTACGACTACTACTACTACTACGACTACTACTACTATTACGACTACTACAACTATTACTACAACTATTACTACGACTACTACTATGACTATTACTACGACTACTACTATGACTACTAATACTATGACTACGACTACGACTACTACTACGACTATTACTACTACGACTACTACTACGACTACGATTACTACTACAACTATGACCACTACTACTACAACTACGACGACTACTACTACTACTACTACTACGACTACTACTACGACTATGACTACTACTACTACTACTACGACTACTACTACGACTACTACGACTACTACTACAACTACGATTACTACTACTACGACTACTACTACTACTACTACGACTACGACTACTACAACTACGACTACTACTATGACTATAATTACTACTACAACTACGACTACGACTACTACTACTACGATTACTACGACTATGACTATTACTACGACTACTACCACGTCTACTACTACGACTACTACGACTACTACTACTATTACTACTACTACACTGTTCATTTATACTACCATATTTTGGCTATTGTCAGGAGATCTGGTGGAATAATGAAAACACTTCATTAAAACCACTTGTCACGCTCCAAAAAAAGGGTCGTATGAATCATGCACAAAGTGGGATACCAGTGACATACACATTCATGGACACCATAACTTTATATATAATAATGCTCGCACAACAGAAGAAGATTTTGTATTTTCTCAGATGAGTAGCTGTTGGAACTTCTGATGGACAGCTGCAGATTACATTAGAGAATAGCAAATCCTGCACATATCACCGATTAGGAAAATAAAATTGGAGAACAAAGTAAATACAGAGCAGTGGGTTTGGACCAGTGGCGTTGAAAACAGGTTTTTCAAAGCAATGACGTCTTGAATACAGAAGAATAAAGATTACTCAAACATACGTGAATCACTCCAAATACAGCTTCAAGAGAGTAAATGAAAAGTCGATTTTGCATAATATGTCTGCTTTAAGTTAGCTAATCTATCTTTTTCAAAACAAATTCTTTATGAATAGAAGTACTCTAAAAATGTGTAACCAAAACTACCTCCAACTATTTACCTTTCAGCTTTTTTATATCCACGTTTTGCTTTTACAAGTTTCCCAAGCTGTCCTCTGTTTTTCACCTCTGCCCTCACTGTTGATGTTGATAAAGTTTTGGGGACCTTTTTTTTAAATAATACACAAAACTTTTCAAGAACAATTATCTGTTAATAACTTTATGTATAATAAGGCTCGCATAAGCAGGAAAATATTTTGTATGTCCTCAAATGGTGTGAGATTATGGAACAATATAAGAGAGAACAAATAAAACTTTATATAAACCTAAGGCAGTTCAAAAATTAGTATAATATTTCAAAAGCTTCATGGATGAATGGGAGAGAAACACTGTGATTTTTGTATAGGTCAGGGGTCTCCATCTTTTTTCCTCCTGTGAGCTACTATTTGCAAAATGAAAATGCCAGTGAGCTACTAATTTTAGCGGTTTCCAGAAATTTAGTAAATATAAGAGCCATGATAAGCCGAAGATGAGGTACAGTTAGATGTCTATAAAACATAACCTATTTTCCAGTCATCAGTGCACAAAATTAGACATCAAAATCATACATTTACAAAGGAAATAGGCATTTAATCGATTAAATTTGATTTATTCAACGCAATATGTATAAGTCAGAAATTCCTTGGCAAGCTACTTGGAAGGAGGTGGAGAGCTCCTAGTAGCTCCCGAGCTACAGGTTGGAGGTATTATTGTCTGCAGTATAGAGCATCAAATGTAAAATTCTGTAAATAAATGTAAAGCAGGAGGTGATATTAAATAAATTGTTAAAACTTCTTACACGATTATGTAATATTATATTTGCATTTTTTCCTTTGTCTGCAATGTTCAAAATAAAGGATTAGATTAACTCAAATAATGAACTGAACCTCTGCATTTGACCATTCTTCAGTCATTTTCAGGAATTCTGTTAATATACTATGTGCATGCTTGATTCTGGAATAGTCCAGAAATCAAATAGGGGACCTTCTTGAGGTGAGTTGAGCGTGTACAACTGGGCCACCATTTTTGCTCCAGCAGTTACTTTCATTGGTTTAAATAGAGTTTCTATAAAGCCTTCTTTGGATCACACATAATCCTTTCTTGACACTCTAAATGAAAACCGGACATGTGTTCAATTATTAGTGTAAAAGGCTTATTATTAATTATTATTATTATTATTATTTATTATTTATTTTATTTATTTTATATTATTATTATTATTATTATTATTTTATTATTATTAATTTTTTTTTTTTTGTTTGCAATAAGTTTCTTGGAATTACTGTAAACCCTAACATTCAAACAAATTAAATAGATTAAGTTGTGTATACTCAAAGTTTTTGAAGTAGTCTTACTAACTTAATTGTGTCGAGTTGCTGTAACATGTTGTTCTTTTTGAGTAATTTTAACAAATACTTTTTGTTTAAAGATAACCATTGTGATTATAAGTGAGCTTAACTTAGTAGAATTAAGTAATTAAAAAATAATAGGTAATGTGTGTTATAATGTACTATGTACTATTTGTATACTGTAATGTGTAATGTATGTATTATTAAACTATATACATATTACATAATCTTGATTAGACTAGTAAATCCCTTGATTTTCCCTGTGAACCCTGGGTTTAAATCCCTCTCCTACAGTGTGTATAATGTGTATATACTATGATGTGTCTATATGTGTACTATAATGTGTATACATGTACTGGATTTTGTGTGTACAAAATCATGAACTACATTCAAACCTGAAAATGTAATTATTCCAGTGGTTTGAAAACTGTAAACATTTGAGTTGAGCTGAATGAGCACTTTTTATTCAGCTGTTATCAGAAGATACAAGTAGCAAACCATTCAACCTTTAAAGTTCTGGAACATTGAGACTTTTAAGTTCATCAGTTTAAAATAATTGAGGCAATCGATGGCCTCAATTCTTCTGAGTTTTGGTCACTTATTCGGGTTTACAGTGACATAAAGTCAGTAACAAACATTTACAAATATGCAAATGTACAGTTAAACAAACTAAATATCAAAGTAAAAAAAAAAAAAGGTTGACTGTAAATAAATGTAAGGAGGCCTATTGTGCTTGTGTCTGCTTTGGATCATTAAGTTATAATTTGGGTATTTTAAATTGCAATATTAATCCATTTACTTCCACGTTAGAAAACTGT